TCTGGGTTTTATCTATAATGTCCTTATCCCCGTAGTCTTTCTCAATTTCGTACAGGAAGTTCAGCAAAATGCACCTCTCATTGACAAGCTCATTTTTCTTGCAGAATTCAATTCCGTTTTCCAGAATTTCTCTGCACTTGGTGATGTCGTCGAAGTAGATGTACTGAAACTCCGCGTAGCTTTTGTAGACCTGCAGTGGGGTCGCGCCAATGAGTTATCGGAAGCGGTGATAAGTTCGAGGCAGTGGTGATAATTGGTGGCGGTATAAGTAGCGACGATGGCAGCCATACAACACAGCGATACCACCCCCCCTGCCCTGACGTGAAAACTGTACCTTATAATGCTGGGTTATATTTAAAAGCCTCTCATACAGCTTCTTCGCATTCTCATACTCCTGCAAGTTTATTTCCAAGTCGATGTAGTTTTTCCAGATCTGTGCGGAAATGGGCAAAATGGAGACACATGGGGGGAGATGTAATACGTAATAGGGTCGGGTTACCCAGCAGGGCCACACAAATTTACACCAAATGAGGGTGCAAAAATGACGGTGCAAAAACGACGGAGCACACCGTGTTTACTCACACGAGGGCACATTTTGGCCTACCAGCTCGGGGAGCTTCATGTCGTCCAGGTGGATGGCAATTTCTGCGATTTGCCGAGCTCGCTCCACCTCGTCCAGGGATAGCTCGAAGTTGATCATGGAGATCCAGGCCTGAAAAAAGAACGGGGCGGATGGAAGAGGCATGTGGGAGCATCGCTTAAAACTGCGCAATGAGAATAACTACGCTCCGCTTCCTTAACACAACGCACCACTTTGTCAACAGTACGCTCCGCTTCCTCAACACTACGGCCCGCACTTACCTTCGAGTTAAAGGGGAAGGCCTCGACATACTTGGCGTAGATATCGCGGCACTCCTTGATGTTCCCTAGACGCAGTTCCATCTCGCAGTACTCCTCGAAGATCTCCTCCTTCTTGACACTTTGGATGGCTCGGTTAAAAATGGATCGGACCTTCGGAATGTCCATCTGCCGCACTTCGAAGTTGGCATAGAGTAGGTAAATTTTCTTGAAGGTGAAATTCTGCTTCTTCAAAATTTTCAGCGCATTTCTGTACACATCTCTAGCCCTCTGCACATTTTCTGCATGCATTTCTTCAAAGATGGCGTAATTGATCCACAGGTAAATGTATCTTTTCCAAAATTTTTTATTTTCCACGGGGGGGATAACACTAATTGCTCTTTCGTATAGCTCCCTGATGCGGAAAACACACTTGTCCTTATTCACCAGACTTATGTTCGACTCTTCCAACTTGATGTAATTAAACCAAGTGTCATAATCGGAAGGGTTCTTTTTAATCTCCTCCTCGTAAGTAATCCTCTCCTTAATCATCAAAGTCTCATCCAGTTCGTCCTTATCAGCATACTTCTTCTGAAATTGTAAAAAGCTCTTGTACAAAAATTCACTTTTGCTTTTTGGCAAAATCTTAAGTGCTTCTATATAAATTTTTCTGCACCTTTCATATTCATTATTCTCCTCCTCAAAATTGCAGAAATGAATATAAAAATGTTCATCCAGAAAGGATGGAGGTAACAATTCGATACACTTTTCGAAACATGCCCGAGCTCTATCCACGTTTTTATACTTCCTCTCAAATTTAATAAATCGGTAAAAGCATTCCATCTTAGGGAGAGTTACAATAAGTCTCTCGAAAATGTTCCTGCACTTGTCAATTTCTCGACATCTTTCCTCAAAATTGATATAACACAGAAATGCCGTTTCGTCAATTTTCCACTTTACCCACCTTTCGTATATATTTCGACAGTTGACAAAATTATTCAAGATTTCCTCCAGGTGGGCATATTTTTTCCAGAAGATATTTTCCATAGGTAGTAACAGAACTGCTCTTTCGAACAGATTCCTCGCGCTGTTTATATTTTTATTTAATAATTCTACTTCTATATATTTTAACCACAAATTTACGTTTGTGTAGTCTATATTTAATGCCCTTTCGAAAATGGATCTTGCTCTTCGAATGTCCTTCTGCTTCACCTCCCAGAGGGCGTACTTTATATACGTGCTAATGAGGTACCTTCTCTTCCTTATTTTGTCTTCATATTCCTTTCTCTTACTTATTTTGTATTCGTTCAATTCGTCTTCGTCTATCAGATTGTAGTTCACCTTCTGCTCCACTTCCTCCAGGTCCAGCGCCTCATTTATCAGCTGCTCCGCGGTTATCTGCACCTCCGCCGCGTTCTTGTTCTTCACCTGCGGGGGGGGCAAGCGGTGTGACAACGATGTGACAACGACGTGACGGAGATGGTGTGACGCTGTTACGCACATGCGATGCGCATCCTTCCTAAATGCCTACATAAACATAGCAAAGGCGGGACTACAACTGGTGGGCAGCCTCCCACCACCGCTTACGGCTCACATTACCTGCAACTTCCTGCTGTTCACATTCATCGTGTCCTATCGTGTTTCCACAAAATCTAGCTCAGACGGGGGGTGATATATACGCCCTTTCAAACAGAACTCGCACAGGGGAAGAAAACCCTACGCACCACTGAGCAAAGCATGATTGGTCTGTTCCACTTAACCAGTTCGGCTGGACTGTCCACCTCTGAGCAGTTTTGGAAGACCTCTATGCCACTGCTCAGAGGAAGAAACAAAAAAAAAAAAAAATACTCAAATTACGCCGCTAAGATAATTGTCGAGGCTAAGCGGTAAACAAATTTCCCTCACAAGAAAGCGGACTATTTTAGGAACCCTTTTCCTCTTCTTACTCAAAGGCTAATCACTTGATAATTTTCTCTATTTCTCTGCAGGTTTCGTTCAAACCTTCCTCATTTTAAAACCCCTTTCGAGAAGGCCAAAATATTCGTCCTATAACAGAACCAGAGAAAATAAAAAGCCGTTTCGGACATTCCTCAAAATGGCGAAACAAAAGGGGCCATGCCTTTCGCACTCGAAGTGTCAGCTGTATGCTGAAGGAATAACTTCGGAAAAAAGGAAGAAAAAAAAAATCTTTAAAATCTCAAACGGCAAGATTGCGCAACAATAGAGGGGGGAGCTTCCACGAGCAATTTCAAACGGGGTTGCCGAAGGATCCCCCAACCAAAATAAAATGACCCACGCGAATGGGCAAAACGAACATCTATCCGATTTACATACAAAATGTACTAACCAAAATGGAGGCGCCTTCTAACAATTTTTCCCCCCATCTTTTCAGCGTCATTGAGAAAAAAAGTATACCTTTTATCACTACCCATATGATTAACCCTGCAAGGAAAGAACTCATCATCATGAGCGATACATCACGGCAGATGGTTCACGGTAGATGACTCACCGCAGCAGGTAATTCTCCCTCCGTGCGCACACCTAAACTGGAAGCCTGCTCGCGGTACATGCGTGGAGTGCCAACCTAAGGTATTTGGATCCTCATTTAGTGAAATTAGAAGCTAATGCCACGAAGAATAAACGCACCGATAATGTTTTCCATCTGGAAAACACGGTCAGTTCAGAGGTATCATCCACTACAGCAGTCTCTGCGCAGGGGTAAAACAATGGGGGGGGAGTGTACTCATCGGTGCTGCCCCTGTCCATTGAGGGAAACCTCCCAGATGGCTACAACATGGATGATAAAAAAAAAATGTTCACAAGAGACGGCCTTCCTTGTATAAATACATGGTTGTTTAAAGCTACGCTTTCATTTTAAAGTGTGTTTTCGTGAAAATCGGTGGTGGAGAAAAAGAGGAGATAGACACATAAACACATAAACACATCAACATATGTTGCCGCACGTGCAACTGCTAAGTGAACTGTTAATGTGTTGCGTGGGGGGTTAGAAAAGAAACTGCGTCCGCGGCGCAGGCACATATGCCACAAACGACCCTTCTTTTCCATAAGTTTTCATTTTGGGGGGACAAACGCAAGGGGGAAGGGAGTTGCTAAATGGGTGATACTTTCTATCACTTAAAAAGTAAAAAGGGGCTTTAACAACAAAAAAAATAAAAGGAAATGAAACGACGCCAAATGAAACGAAAGGAAGCTTTGAAAGGATGCCGAGACGCGTGCTAAATTAAACCGCGCCAAAGCAAAGTCACATATATCAACGCATGCACGGATGCGCAAATGCATCGACGCACGTGTGTTCAAATGAAGAAAAAAAAAATTCATATCTCCCATGCGAGAGATACAAAGGATTATGCACAAATAAAACGTATGTGCTCAAATGTTTGGCCCCAATGTGCCATAGGAGTAATCCTTCAATGAGGAATGAGAAACAAACTCACGTACGTTCAATGGTACACAGGGGGTTGTCCTAACCTTGGAGAGGTGTTGGGTGGCCCACTGGCCTCAAACTACCATTCTGTATATTCCATTATAGCTACTTCCTTGGGGCGCACCTTTCATGGGATTCAAACGTATGCCATAGTACAACTCGCGGACGGAACCGCGCGTCGCTTAACTGGTTTCTCTCCCCACTGCGAATTCATCCTCCTAGTAATGCAGTAACAATATGGCCTCCCCTTAGTGCAAAGGGGGGGAAGGGGGTCACAATTCCTACTCACCACTTTGTCTACCGTTTAAGTCCATGTTTCTATTTCCGCCTCTCTTCATGGGTTGGCACCTTCAGATTCGCCGCGGCGTAAAAAATCTTCCATCGGGGCACACAGTGCAATTGTGCACATATATATAAATATATATACATACATGCATGCCTCCCCCAAACCGCCAACTAAAAAAAATAAAAGGGGAGAAAAGCCACCTCGGCTGGCCGTCACTCCGACTGCAGACGGATCTCCCCGCACTGCAACATGGGACATGCTCCAAACGGGCAAAATATATTCATATGCGTATTATTCTCAGCGGTCTATCCTGCGGTCTTCCCTACGGCCTACCGTTCCTATATGCCAGCCCCCCAAACCGGGTCAACACTACGGAGACCTCTACTCACGAATCATCGACACACATGGGGTACACACCGCGGCTTCCCCACCTCACACCCGCTCTCTTTTACCCATACTGTTCATTCGAAATGAATCAATAGCAAATAACGAACTCAAGTTATTCAAAGTGCTGCTGCTAGCTGAAGACATCTTCCTCTTTACAGGCTCCATAATATGGTTGGAGAATTCACCCATTTTGTTTCCCTCATTTCCGTAGATAAAGTCATTGTAGCTGTTAAACCTGATGCTATTCATGCCGGTTATTTTGTTCCTCATTTCGCTGCGTATGTTGTTCCCTCTCTTTATGTAGTAGAGGTTCGCGCACACCTGTTCGCTGGTGCTACTTCCGATTTTGGCGACGTTCCTCTCCTGCTCTGCAGCATTGCTCACCAGGTTTCTTCTACTCTCACTCATTAGTTTGGCCCTATGCCCTTTGGAGGTTTCTCTCGAACTGCTGACCTTGCTCCCTTTGGAAAGTTGGCTACTCGCACTGCTGACTTTGCTCTCCTGGGACGCCACGCTCGCGAGGCTCACCTTACTTGCGCTGACATTTCCTGCACTCTTCTCTTCACGCTCCTTCTCATTGTTGGTATTCATGCCGTGGATCACACGCTCACGTGACGAGTGGGATCCGGTTTCCACCTGGCCCATTCTGGAGGACGACATTTCCCCTTTGCCTTTCCCTTCACCTTTTCTTAACTCCCCCGAATATTGCCTGCCATTTCTATGGGCCATAAGTGTCTGTTCCCTTTTGTTATGACACTCCCCATCGCTGTGTGCATAGCTTGCCTGATCACCGTGAAGGCTCCCGCTTCCCCTTTCATCCACGGGAGGGACAGCTTTCCTCATGTCCTGGGAAAGCCTCGGAACCCTATCCACCGTGTACACATTTCTACTCTCTCTCGACATTCTAGAGTTCATTTTTTCCAATGAGATGCCGTCCATGCAGCTACCATTCCCTCGTAGGGTCAACTCCTTTTCGCTACCCATGTGGATATTGCTGCAGTTGCTATGACTTGGGCTCTGGTCCATATGGGAGGACGACATATTTTCTCTCCTCGCGGGGTTGTATACATAACTTGAGCATCCCTTCATGCGGGTCCTGTCCTTTCCTTCTCTACTCTCGACTCGTCTTCTATCTGAGTAATGTTCTCTACTCATTTCGCGACCTCCACTCAGACCGCGGCTTCGATTCCGATCGCTAACAACAGCACGGTTGGTTATCTCCTTCCCTCTTTGCTTGGTCAAAGAGCCAGACACGCCACTGCTCTCCTTGCTGTGATGGAATTTACTCGTATCTATGTTATTCTTACCACATGTGTACCTCCAAAGGTCCTCAATGCTAACATTGGTGTCACTCTCGTAAAATGTATTATCAGGTATGTGCCTCATGGACGACTCCACGGATCCTAGAACAGTGCTAACACTTTGAGAAGAATCATAACCTGACTCCTTCGTCTTAACCCTAAACACACTCTGATCACTATAAAATCTTTCCATATTACTCATGAAGGAATTTAGTACTTCCTTACTGCCTGTACCTTTATTCCTATCACATTGTCCTCCATTTATACTTTCACCGGAAACATTCAACTTTGCAGTATCTCCGTCCCTCTTGCTTCTCTCCCTCAGTTTTTCCCTCATCTTCTTTGCATTATTCATAATGAACATGTTTCTCACCTTCTGCATGTTCACATGTGATATGTCATATACACTGTTTACATTTTCTCTGATATTATTTTTCAGTACATAAAGAAAAGTTACCAATGCTGCATTCACCATGCTGCCAAAGGAGCTATCCAAATTGTTATGGCCTCCTCCTTCTATGAACATATAATACGTATTCACATTTGTCCTTCGAATCATCTCTTCTGTGCCGTGGTAAGAAAGAAGATTGTCCTTCGTACCATGGATAAACAAAATGGGGCACTTAATCATGTGTACTTTATCAATGTTGCAAAAGGAATCATAAGGCAAGGTAAATTTTAACTTTAACTTAACCCGATGTATCGATGCCAAGGGAGCTGACAGAATTACACCGAGCAAATTGTTCTTTGTTGCTATATGAACAGTTGCAGCTGAACCTAGACTTCTCCCATATGCTATTATGCTGTTCTTTGGAATGCGTAGCTCCGTTACTAGATAATTATATGCTGCCTCTACATCATTGTACAGATGTGTTTCCGTTGGGTAACCTGAACTGTGGCCATACCCGCTATAGTCATATGCAAACAGATTCAGTCCTAACTGTTTCAATCGATACTGATAAAAGCGGATTACGTCTCCTATATCTTCTGCATTCGCGTGACTAAATAAAACGGTTGTGTCCGCCTTGTTGTCAATAAACACCCCACATATCGTACTGCCATGCTTCGTTTCGAAAAAGTGCAGGTCCTCTCGGTTTTTCGAGTAACTCGGCGGGTGTGGCCGGAAGATTAAGCTGTTCAGCAAGTTCCCCATGGTGTGCACACCGGGGACACGTAGGCTGCGCCTTCGACTTGGTCGCTACGAAGTTGACAGCTAAGAATTTGACCGCTGTGCAGTCAGCGCTGGGAAGTTAGCGCTACCCTACTGTTCAACACACGCGGACAGAAGAGTTTTCCCAACTATTCTATCCTTTCAAATGCGCGAAACGATCTCATAAAGTGGTGAAACACTTGCGGGGGTGCGGGGAATTGCCGCTTCGGGATCCTTTTTTCTAATTTCTTCACAACGATTCGGAATCCTTTTTTCCAATTTTTTTACAACGCTTCGGAAAAGATGTGCAAACATACACGTGTGCGCACATACATATACACGCACACGCTGCTAACTCCTAACGTTGATTTTTGCTTCAACCATTTATCTGCGCCCTCCCGTTGAATGCCAAAAACATACATGCGAAATGCGCAGTGCAAAATGCTAAAATTGGGGACCCATATATTCACATACACATGACATATGCGCACTGGAGAATTTTAACCAAAATTGAAAAAAAAAGAAAAAAAAACAGAACACAACAGAACACAAAACAACAGATCAGAACAGCACAGAAATGCAAATGCGCTCGCGTACTACTTACGCAGTGGAATGTTTTATAAACAAATTTGAAACAAAAATGTTCCACTTAAAAGAATTTGCTCGGACAAAGAAAGGCAAGTTACAACGCACATCCTGCACTTACGCATATGTAGGCACATATACATATGCACATACGCACGTGTGTACCTATGCACATGACGCTGCAGATTCGCCTCTCGACCAATCTCTGCTTACAAATTCGCCACGGCGCGCAGGGACAAACACATTCATATATTCATTCATACAGTCATATATTCATTTATGCGTACATTCATTTATGCGTACATTCATTCATACGTACATTCCGTCATACGTAAATTCAGTCATACGTACATATACACACCAGTGGCATATGTTCGCAAAGATGCTGAATGTCCGGGAGGTGAATGCATCTAGATGAAGGCACAGTACACTCTGTGTGCGCCACGGATTTTCTTACTCTCAAGGGAATCAGCAGTTGATCTGCGTCTACAGTTGCTCCGCAAAATTTGGGGAACACATACGGGGCGGGGTAGCACAAATAGGGGGTAAGCAAATGGGGTAAGCAAAAAGAGTAATCAGAAAGGGTAACCCACAGGTGGTAAAGCAATAATGGGAAAAGCAAAAAGGAACGCAACTCTGCGACGCCGACCTTACTTTTGGACCATTTCAAATCAGTGTCAACTATGTGTAAGCGCATGTGGCAGCCAATGTGTGAGCATCACTTTTAACGCTCTCACCACATAGGGAGTTCTTACACACGGAGCATTAAAACAGATTATTTCTTTCACTATTCCAAGGGGATAAGCAGAAATGGAACATAAATTAAAGTTCAAGGAAGCTTGAACAAACTGGACACATCAGATGGGGGGACAAAACTGAAATAATTAAAAAAGTTCAAAAGGGAAAAGGCTGCATTAGCACATATATATGTATGTGTGTACGTACCTATCTGCACCCAGCTGGCGACGCAGAATGCCACACTGGGGTACTGCTGTACACACTGATTAATACGAATTACAATTCGTAATTCTGTTTACTCTTACAAACTGGATGGAATATAGACGCATGCAAAGGTGCATCGATGGGGATATGCGGCGATGCAAATGCAAAGACGCAAAAGCGAACACAGACAAATACAAATGCGAGGTAACTCCCGCGAAAACCTCAAAAACGGATTAAACGGGGGCGTAAATTTGCGCAAAAGAGAACATATATACCTGTGGTGTACATGGGCACACGAAGGGTACACGTGTGCGACCATACCACGTTCGGTTAATTCAGCTCAAGTGGGTGCTAAACCGTTAGGGGCGACGTGACAGAAGCTGTTCATCACGCCCCTTGGGGATGAGAAAAAGAGACATGTTCCAGGGTTTTGTGTTCACATATAGAAATAACTAGCACCTCGGCATCTGCTGCTAAGCTGCACATTCGTGGAGAAAATAACTTTCATGCACGATTCGGTGACGCGCACAGGTACGTTCCTCGACTGTAAGAAGTACTACAGCGAGGTAAGTAATCTTTGCCAATTTGCTAATCGGTATAGAGCACGGGGAAGGTCATGGAGGAAACATGCACTAAACAAAATTTATGACGAATCCAAGAGGGTCACAAAAAAGTACATACATTTATGTACGCATAGGCATATGCATAAGAAGATAAAAAAACACAGCTAAGAACACTATGCGCCCAACGAAGGCACATGTCTGAAATCTTAAAGAACAGATACAAAACTGCGAAAATTGCAAAAAAGGCAAAAAACCCTTTTCATGCAAATATTTTCCTCATTGGAAACTCACACAGGGGGGCCCCACAAAATTTTATGTACTCTTTTTATTTTTTACAAGTACATGGTTATCTCTTTAAAAAAAAAATTTCCCAATGTTTACTGAAAAAACTACATACGGGGAACGCGTAAATTTTAGCATTCGCCTCTGTATGTATATAAGGCCACACTGAATTAGGGGCGAAGTATAGAATTTATATCACTGCATTGCTTAATTATATGCATAACACCGGAGGGGGGAAATTATACTGCAATTGGGTAATGGGCATAATTGAACGGCCCAAAGGTACACGAGAAAGATATACATGTAGGCATAAACGTATATATGTACACTTTAACGGTACGCTCCATATGCAAACACAGAGCAAACACAAAGCAAACATAAAGCAAACATAAAGCAAACATAAAGCAAACACAAACGCAGAGGTAAGAACGCTTCTTCATGAGAACACACGTGCGGTGAAGCCAAATGCCAACACAGTAGTAACAAGCAGGAGGAGAGAAAAGAATTTTTTCTTTAAAAAATGTCATGCGGAAAAAATGGATTCACGAAAGAAGCAAAAATTGCTTCCTTGCAAAATGAACATAACAAGTCGGCACAAAATAGAGTGATTAATTTTTCTGACAAATATATTTTTGCGCGAAGAAACCAAACACGAGTGAGCAGAGCCTATATATTGTAATATACATAAACTTACGGTTATGCTGTACAATTGCACACTTCTTTGGGCAAATGGCATGTATGGCCTTGTACGCCCTAAGTCATTTTGATATGGCGTAAAATTAACGTATACAATAATTATACGAAGTTGTTCTTCTATACAATGTAGATAGTAACAAATATCCTAATGTACGGAAGCCCGGAGGGGGTACAATCCCACCTAGCCATTTTTTAATTTTTGAAATCGCTTCATCTCAAGTTTTGGCGCGAATTTTTTTTTTTTTTTCTCTTTCTTCTAGCCTTTAGCTTTAACAACATCGACTTTTTTGTTAAAAAGGTAAAAATTCGCCTGAACAACATGAACAGCAAAAAAAAAAAAAAAGCTACTTAATTGCTTATCGCTTTGCCATTAATGCTTAGTTGTAAAGTTGAAATTTTGTCACATTGAAACAAGTTTTTTTACGTTATGCTGAGAAAAAAAGTGGGTAACAAATTTTACCCATTTTAACAAGCGCGTAATTTCGCTTTTTTTTTCGTGCTAAGGTCGAAGAAAAAAAGGCCCTTTTAATTTTGCCATTTCTTCAAAAAGAGTTTAGAAAAAATGCATAACTTTATTGCGCCATATATCGCCTCTTATTTACTATTACATTTACGTGCCATCATGTGCACGGCAACCAACCCGACTGAAATTTCGCAGCTTTGGGTGAACAGAAAAAAATAAAACCATTCGTGTGTAAACGTTACTGAATAATTTTTTCTTACTTAACACAGTTCAGAACGGAGAATAGCGTGAATTTTGTTATAACGCTTTTACATAAAATTGTATGCATTCGTTTTAATGTGCAATTCTTGCATGTGTTCTGGTGGTGCCTTCCACTGCATAACAAAACTGAGTGTGCTACAGGTGAGGCGTTCAACATCGGAGTTATGGTGCAGCGGTGTGGTAGTGGTAATCTTTGACACATCTATAAAAAAAAGGCAATTCGATCCGATCGGCATATATGCGCCCCATCTGCCCTCATATTTTTGCGAGCACTTATTTTGATACTTCCTCCTGTTGGTTGCAAGTTGAAACCACTATGACACAGCGGAGTTGCAAAAACGTGTAGGCGCTGCTGATCTGCTGTGTCAGAAAATATACTCTTAAAAAATATGTGGGGTACTTTTACAAGACCCATTAGCGAACGATCAAAATGATACACATGGCAACACCCCGCATGTTACTTCTCTTTTAAATGCCTTTCCCACGGCACTTTCTTTGTAAGCGTGAAATTTTCTCTACATTTACGTGCTTCTCAAATGGGGAAAAAATTGCTCCCAAAAAGCGCACACTTCTTCTATTTTATACGACGCCGTTCATCAACTCCGAGTGGAAAGCAGAGGAATGCTGATTTGCCACGTCGCGTAAGTCCACATGGGGATTAGTACCCACATGTGCCAGCGTGAATTCACCGAGGGGTCTTGCAAAAAGGAGGGAAAGTTTTGCTGCATTCCGTTTTCTTCCGCTCTGCCATAAAGTAACAAACCAAACGGTGTACACCATAAACAGTTGGCAAACAAGTGGAAAACAGCCGGCACACGAGTAAAACACCTCGTTCGAAATGAACAAAGAGGGGCTAAATGGGCATAATTACAAATGTGGAGAATTTTTCTTTTAAAGATAATAAAACTATGCAATTGCTGCAAAGGGCGAAACAATTTTTTTTGTGCTTTTCCTTTTCCGCATACGGAAAAGGTTTCATTCATGTGGTTTTCCGAAAAAGGCGTAGAGGCGGGGCAGAGATGAATGGTCACAAAATAGTGAAACGACTCAGAGAGAACGAAAAATTACACTCCCGTGCAGAACTTGTCCGAATGATGCAAGTGCCTGTATGTACTCTATTAGTTCCCATCGCCCACCATTTCAACGCTGTAAAAGTGGGTAAAAAAATAGTCTTAAATGTACATTTTTTTCAATTCATTTCTTTATACTTTCTTCGAAAATTACACCAACTTATGTGGCGACGTCTTAAATGTACACTGTGGGTGTAGTTCCAAATTTGGCAATTAATCAAACATGAGCCTTAACGGGCACGGCATGCGAAATTTCCTTCGTCCACCAAGCAAAATCGCTGACCACTTGGCAATGTATTGATGAGGGGTTTGCGTTTTTAGCGGCAGCGGAAGTCACGCTAATCGTCCCACATGGACAAACAGCAGCCCCGCAGCGAGTTACGCTTCGTTGATTTACCACTCTCTTTTATGGAAAGCTTTCCCAAGACAAACGCATAAGGAAACGCCAACTTTTATTTGCAGCTGCCGACTGTCATACATTTGAGCGGAAATAAGGTAAAATGTACAGAAATTAAATAAAGACAATTGCTAACCTTTTTCCTAACCTCCAGTTGTTCACAGTTTTGCGAAAGGGCAGCCCCATGTGTCTGAATTTATTTCTTTCCGTTCTGCTTTTTCTTTTCCCCCTTTTTAATTTAAAATTAAATGCATACACTGGAGGATGTTTCAATTTGCATTGCCGCATATCGAAAAGTGGAAAGCAACCTATAAGTAAAAAAAAAATTTAACTAGATAGCTCTGTCAACTGAATTTTGTAAGCACTTCCCCCGTTTTAAACATGTTCCGTCTACTTGTATTCACTAATCTCCCCTGATCGAAAATACAACATAGACGAAAACAGACAAGCGCTCAGGTATATGTTATATATGCAATTGCGTAACCAGGAGGGGGTATAATTTTTTGCCCCCAAAATAAGCTGTATACTATGGGAAAAAAAAAAAAACGTGTACTAAATTACGAATACAGAGGGATATATATATTTTTTCCGCTCTTCTTTTTTTAATTTTGGAAAGTTGGTATTTTCGCTGGGAATTTTCACTATCTTTCCGTTTCAGCTTCATATAATCCTATTTTTGTATAGCTTCCGTTTTGTGCCATTTTGTTGGTGTGTGGCTTTATTTGCCATTTTGGATGACCACCTTCGCTTCACCTTTTTCTTTTCCTTTTTCCCCCTTCCCTTTTTCATTATTTTTTCTTTATGTATCCCCCCATTTTTTTGATTGGTTTTTTCCGGAACGTTGAAGGAGGCCAAAAGGTGTTACATAAATTTTTCGCAAATCTCTTTATACTGTTCATCCGCGTTGGGTCGTATCATCAGAAGGGATCCTTCATTTTCGCGTATCCCTTAGTGCCCATCGTTCGCCATCTTGTTCCATCCCGTTCGCCGCCACGCAGCAGCCGCGTAACAGCAGCTCTCTGCCCACTTTTCCTCCCTTTTGTAAATTTTTACCTCAGTGCTCACGAATTTTTCCCTTTTTTTTTATTCCCCTCCGTTTTTTCTCTCTGTTTTTCCCTATGTTTTGTTGCCCATTTATATTTTTTATACTGATTTGAACTTCCGAACGAACAAGCGTCCCGGATCCAGGGACCATTTTTACACAGAACGGGAAAGAGCCTCTTCTTTTTTTTTAATTTACCTGGATCTGACCACCTCTTCAGTTTCACCCAATGCAGCAGGGTTACAGAGCTTGGGACTTCCCCATTCCTTGGTGAGAAAAGGAAGGGGGCCACAGAAATATATATGCCTATAGCACTTACATACGTGCAGTGCACATACGTATGCATATGTAGATATTATGCTCATGTGCGTGCATATATGAAAATATATTTTCCGTAGCGCCGCAATTCTGGGGTATAATTAGACCGGGCAGAAAACCCCCCAGGGAAATGAAAACGTCAACGTCGAAAAACTTCGCGGAGGCGAACGCTAACGCCAGTGGGAATTGCCGCGGGAACAAGCTCAATGCCTCTAAAAATGCCTTCACAGATGCGGCCTCCGTAATATGGATCGAAAAGGAAAAATTAGATTCCATTATTCACATCCCCCTGTATTCAGATCTGTCCAAGTATCTCTCCGATTTGAGCAAACACCCAGTGAAGCAGGAGAAGGAAGAAGAGGAGGGAGGAGGACTGCTCTCCAAGATTTTCCTACTCTTTGATGATAACAGTTGCAACATTGCCCTTGACATATCCGTAGGTGTCGAGTCGAGCAGGGGAGACCTGACCAGTGGGTGCCTGACGAACTGCTCAAAGTCAACCCATTTGAGGATGGGAAAGAGACTGCATGTAGTGCCATAAAAGGGGAGAATCCCACTACTCATCTGGAGCTAACCATTTTGGGAAATATCCTCAACCCGTTCTTCACATGCTGTGTATAAGTTCCCCCACACGTTCATCTTTTTTTTTCTTTATTCTTCCCCGTCCTGACAGGCTCTATACGAGTCCGACAACAACAAAATCCCGCTTCTCATCTACGAGCGGTTCTACTTCTGGAGCCTCCACTTCTTATTTGAAAAATCGAAAATAAAAAGACAGAAATTAAACATCTCCTCAGACATCAATGGAAGATACGGAATTAAAGGACTTAACAAATATGATGAAGACGTATATATATACACATCCATTTATAATTCTGCATATAATCGAAATGACGATGAGAACAACGTCGAGGTTACCAGCTACTCTCAGCTGGGCACGCACACCTACAACGAAGTGAACAAAGAATTAAACATATCCAACAAGGACTACATAAAGTATTTGTACCTTAATGATCTTAAGAATAACGCCATGAAGGAGAAGAGGTCAAAAGGTGGGGGTGATGGAGCTGCTGCTGGTAATGCAGGCCGAGACACTGGCGAAGCGTTTAAGAGCAGAGCCTCGATCGGAGATCCCTTTTTCCAAAAAGGCCTCTACTCGAACAACGGAATAAAATGGTACCGCCTGAAGATAAAAATTGAGAGCGTGGAGAAAAAGAAGACAAACGAAAACAAAAACCAAAACCTCAGCAGAAGTAAAGGAGGCCCCATCGTCAGACATCACTTCAGTTTCAACAGCTACAACGACAGCAGAAAGAACAACAATAAACAGATCAAAGACAACGTTGGTGGAAACAGAAATGTCGGCAGCTACCACAATAATAAAAGAGTCTTCTCCTGTGAGCAGAGGACCCTGAACAATCCCAACAGCTTTAAAAAAGAAACATGTGACCCCACCTTTAACGCAGATCTCGTGCACAAGATTAACCACTTCTCTCTTATAGACAAACACGCCACGAAGAGAAACATTAACAATTTAATTAAGATACAGAAGAGGTCATTTTCTATGTTCCACCAAGAAAATGACAGAAATTTATTGGACATCTCAAACGATGAACTGTTGATGCTGTCCTCCAATAGAAGGAGCGGATCCGTCTTCGATTCCAATAAGAGGAAAACCCTAGCTAGTTGCGGCAATCAGACTGGGAAGAGGCGTAAAAGGAGTAACTGGTTCTACTACAAAAGCAGCAGCAATGAAACGAACTGCAGCCTGGATGATGACGATAAAAGCACATCCAGGGGAAATTCGGTCTGCGCGCCGGACCGTGGATCCGATTACGTGGAGAATAAACGGAAGAAGAAAGAGGAGGCTCTATACTGTAAACTTGGGCGTGGCGACAAGAATGGGGAGGACAAGGGGGACGACAGGGGGGACCGCCCCTGCCAAAGTTTCACCAGCTGCGACTTGGCGTGTACTCCAAGCAGAAATCGCACTAGGAACTCGAAGGAGGCCCGTTCGCCCAAGGGAACGCAACCCCTCGATGGTGAAATGAACGAAGCTGCAGAGGACGTCGCCGAGGGAATGGCCCACGCAGAGGACAGCTTCCCAAATTCGCGCATACCATCCGAGATCAGGGCGTACGTGCGAACGGTCAACGCAGGGGAGTCGAGCACAGAATTCCACAGCTTCGACGTTGAAGAAGAAGTGGATGGGATGGCGAGCCCTCCAGTAGTAGCGGTAGGCCCCCCAGAAAACAACCGAGAGAAGGAGGAAAGACAAATAAAAACGAATGCACTGCTCATTGAGGACAAAAAGAGCCCTGGACTCCTAACCAAGAACACGAAGGTGTACCAAGAAAATGTTGACGAATACAACTCTGAATTTAAGAGTATAATATCGGAGCCTTCTGATCAAAAAGAGAGGACAGAAAAAATAAAAAGGAGAAGGGATCACAACAGAGAAACACAAACAATATACTTAAATAAAATTTTAAACAGCATTGTGAATAAAGAGAAGTCGCATTTGAATTGTCTCTCTAAGAGCTTTAAAAGAATTGAAGGATTTTACAAACAGAACTACAAAATATACATCATCGAAAGTAAGGATGATTTAAATAACAAGAGAAACTGTTTTAAGAGTGACGTCCATGCATACGATTTGTCTGCCCCAGCAAGTGACGACATTAATAAGGAGCTGAACATATTGGGCCAGTTTAAAATGTACCTGCGCAGGTGCAAGGGGGAATATCGCCCGAGGAAGTACCAAAGGCACATCACCACAGGTGCTGGGAAGCCAATAGGCGTAGGAAAAAACGGACCCGACTTTCTGACAAATGTCAGCTGCATAGTGAAGAAGGAACACTCCAAGGAGAATCGCCCCGGTGACAACAACGCGGGGGAGAACTCACCCAAGAGGGAAAGCGAACAAAGGGGTACTCCAATCAAGAGTACTTTAACAAAGATGATTCCAGAGGAAGCAGTAGAAAAAGCAAAAGAAGCAGAGGAAGAAGAGGAAGCAGAAGAAGCAGAAGAAGGAGATGAACCCCCCAGCAGTTCATCGCAAAGGGAAGCCATAAACACGCACCTGACAAAACAGAACCCACCCGAAAACGGAATCATATTTTATGCTTACAATAAGAAAAATCCAAGTACCGTAAAAGAGCTAAAGGAAGGAGACTGTCTCTACATAAAATTTAACTCCTCATATGATGATTATGATAAAATTAGGGTAGTAAAAAAGGACGACCTTCTTCAAATTATTGTTTGCCTAATGAGGGACCAAGATTGTCTGAAGCTGTCAAACATATCAACGTATTCTCCTGACCTGCTCTGGAATCTCTCCGTGCACTTCAAAAATAACACATACGACATGGAGTTGAATCTTGAAAAGATGTACACCCACTTTTGTAGGTACTATGAGATGACCTCGGTCGATGGGAGACCGAGCTTGGATTTGCAGCTGGGGTTCGCGCCCATGGTGGAGCCAGTGGGTGATCGGCAGTTCGCTTTGCAGCTGGGTGCCCGAGGGGACCGCCAACCGGGCAGCTCCCTCGAACGGTCGTCCGAGCGCCTCTCTGAGTGCTCCTCCGAGGCCGTCTCCAAATCAGGCGCGAAGGCCGCAAAAGGCATGCGTAGATTCAAAAGCGCAAAAACAGTCAAGAGAGAAAACCTGAAAGAAATAGAAATCATGAAGCTCAAGGACTACGTGTCCTTCCTGGACAAATTTCTGCAAAATGTGAATGATGTCAAGCTAAAGAAACTTAAAAACATACAAACAACAGAGTACTACAAAAAGTATGAATTTGACCGAAACATAAACAAGCTGAATAAGCAACAGCTGCTTGAATTATTTGTTGACAGAAAGAACGAAATGAATACGATTCCTCTTTCTTTTTTAAAAGAAAAGAGTAGAAACATCATATATGAGGAGAACATTAAAATGAATATGTTCGCCTGCATCAAAATAATATTTGATGATGTCAAGGGCAGATGCATCTACGCAGCTAGCGATTTGAACAAATTTGATTTTGTCTTTGAGTATGTTGGAGAGTTACTCACACATAATGAGGCAATGGAACGTGAAAGGAAATATAATAGGAATAAAAAGAAGGGATGTTATATGTTTTACTTTAAACATGAAAATAAAAGGTACTGTATTGACAGCACGGAGGAAAATATCGATGCGGCTATCAATAACAAAGACAAAAAATACTTCTTGAGATCCTTCGCTAGGCTTGTTAATCACTCCAAGAAGAATTCCAACCTCATTCCCAAGGTACTCACCGTTGCGAATCTCCCTCGTCTCTTCTTTGTTGCTTCCCGCAACATCAAGGAGGGCGAGGAGCTGCTCATCGACTACGGCGAGCGCAACCGCGAGATAATCAAGAATAACGAGTGGCTCAAGTGCTGACTGCGGGGTGGGAGAGAGGAAGCCGGCTAGGTAGAGGCTAAGCGGAGGCTAACCAGCGGCATGGTGCTGCTACCCACATAGCAATGAAGATCGGACCGGCGACCCGAAGTAATCACCTCTCCCCCCCCCAAGTGGACAGCCGTCATACGTATCTACTTTTTTGTCATCTGCACGTAAACGTGCGCTGTGTTAGGGTTCCCATTTTCTTTTCTTTAAGTGTCAAGGGGGCAAGCAAGGCGGGCCTCATTTGGGGTCACCTCTCGCCTGGCCCCACCCCCCTTCGAACTCTTTGAGCGGCGCCATTTGAACAATTCTTCCTTCGATTTCAAAATGTAAATGTGACTGTTTTCTGTGTTCTATGTGCTGGGGATCTTCTGGAGAGGGGGTGCATACAGCGCCACTCCATCGTTCGTTTGTTAGGACATCGCACTTGAACATCCCATTGGCACATCCCGTGTGCTCCCATCCTTTCGCTTCTTTTCAAATTAACAAAATTAACACCTTCGTTTGTTCGGACTCCTACCGGTGGGGTGCCACATGTCAAGCTACACATTTCGCCCACAACGCTTCCTGAACCAAATGTCTGTTTATGCCCCACGCATGTATACTACTAGGAAAAAAGACGCTACTTCTTCTTCGAACTGTCCTGATTCACAGTGAAGAAGGGGACCCCTCCATTCACCCTCCTACTGCTGTGTTGAGAATTATCGCAAAAGTAGCTGTCGTACATATTCAGAATAGACTCCTTAATGGGGTAATAGTTGCTCTGTATCGCCTCCGCTGCGCTGGCCATGGAGTCCCGGACGATTGTGCCGCAGAACTGTGGAGGGGGTGAAGGGAAAAAAGCGGAAAAGGCAAAGTAATGAAAAATGCAAACATAACCAAGTAATGCAAAGAAAGAAAAAAAATCACGGGAAAGATAAATAAACAAGGGAAAACGCAACCAAGATGATGGTTCTGGAAGAAGGCGAGCTGCACGGAGTGACCTGTCCCCCCATGGACGGAGCGGACCTTAAAAATTTCAAGTCCAGCTCTTCTCCTATGAATCACATTCTCCCATCTCCCTTTACCGTGATAGTGTCCGAAAAGTAACTGGGCGCTTTTTCCTTCTCCTCCTTGTCCTTTTTCCGTTTTTTTTTCTTTTCCTGTTTTTTATCCATTCTGCGTAGGCGGGCGGTCGTTAGCAGTGTCTTTGGGAAGTGTAGTTTCTTGCGCGTCCTTCTCAGCTTTGCTAGCCGCGTCGTTGGCAACTTTCTTTACGCGCTTCGCTTGCCGCCTCGCCTGGGCGACTTCATCCGTACACCTAGTTTGCCCGCGCTACGGGATTTTTTCCTTGCTACACAGGGGATTACGCAATGCGCTATTCAACTCAGAGGGAAAAAAATTGTGGGAAAATTTCTTTCCTTTACGCCAATTATTACGCCATTAAAAAGCTACAAAAAATTTGGGATAAAGGAAGAAAAAAATACCCCGTTCGGTGAAATAAAACCAACAAAATTCTCCTCTGTAAAAAAAAAAGAAATAAAAACAAAATTTCCCGTTTTTTTCAAAACAGTTCTCCACGTTGACGCAAAAATGAAATCGGCACTTTGCGGCAGAAACCTCCCCACGTTGGGGCCCAAAGGAATTGGGGTACTCCGCAAAAAACCCCAGTGCATTTGCCTCTCAGCCTACGCGGGAAAACATACCGACGGGGAGAAGTAAAATCGTCCAATTTTTATTTCCAAATGGTGCATAGGTGAAATGGAAAAATTTTACACCGCTGTACTCGGAAGAGAAGAGCCAGCCAAATGTGTTGCCAAAGTTGCGCCGAAGGAGTGGCGAGAGAAAAGGAAAATGGACAGAAAAATAAGCAAAAAATACGCAAGAAGAATACGCAGGAAATACGCAAAAAATACACAAAAAGTATACGCAGGAAATACGCAGAAAATCTGCGGAAAGGCTGCGAGAATATGCATGCTGCTTCTTTCCGTATTTTCCATTTGGGAAAATAGGCGAAGGAGGACACGCGGACAAACTGGGGCCGATCGCTCGGTCCATCCGTCCCCCTGTCCTCCCATCAATCACTGAGTAACTTCCAAGGGGGCCCCGAGGAAGCAAACTCGACAGAAAAACGAATACAACGAGTTCCCCCCCGGGTGCGCACTCGTGTACGCAGGTATGTACAATATGTATATATATTTCTATCCTTGTGTTTATGCCTGAGTCGCCCGCATACTTCCGCATTCACCAGTGAAGGCCAAGCAGAGGGGCAAAAAGAAAAACAAAAAAAAACAAAAAAAATAGTAACATGGATTTCGGATTTACTAACGGAAGTGAAACAAAATAAAGTTCCCCCCAAGTGGGGTACTCCCCCAGATGACCACCGCAGCGCACTCAACACCGCTACGCGCACCTCACCCCCCCGACGCGCAGCTTTCTTGGTAAAGCAGCAGCAGCGACCGCATAACCATGCAGTGCTCCTCGAAGGGCAGAACACTCGCCGTGACGTTCTTCACCAAGCAAGTCACAAAAACATCCCAGTACAGCTGAACAAATTTCATGTCATAAATATTATTAACACATTTTAAATGGTACCTCTCAGCTCTTTGCAGAAGATCCCTATTTTTGTCTATTTCATCTGTGAGGGGGTAACTAGATGCACATCTCTGTGGGTCCACAAAAAAATGGGTCCGATTATTTGTCATTTTTGAAAATTCTACCACACTTATGTTACGAAATAAATCCATAATGAGGTACTTCAAAATGAGCTTCTTAAAATGTATCGTTTGGTTGACATCCTTCGCTCGGTTTATGTTCAGGTCCTGCAGGGGGTGCAAAAAAGGGACAGGACGTCGGGTGGACAGACGCGATGACGCTATCGCCTGGGCGCACACATGCATGTATAATAAATATACATATATGTATACATATACATATATATGCACATGGGCACGTTATTACCCCTCCCCCCCTCCAATCTGCATGCACTTACGTGTAAACTCAAACAGGCATACTCACGGTAGGGCTCCACGGAAAGGACCTCCTCTATTTCCGTGTCCCCACAATGCATAGGCATAAGTCCGCTAATCTTCATCCTCTCAAAAATGGATAAACAATATCTGTCAAGTAAGCTATCCACTCCGCTTTTATTTCCATCCACCGCGCTGTCATATGGCACTGCCCCTTCCTCTGACCCTTTGTGGGGAAACCTCTCGCCGTACTCTTCCAGTATGTGGACAGTCTTAAGAATGGTCCCTTTTTTGCGATCCCGATTGAGGCTGTGTCTACTTCGTCCTTCGCTGTGGCCTCCCCCTGACAGTTCACTTACCACTGTGTTATCCACTGGGTCATCCACTTTGTCTCTTTTTGCAACCGATACATCGCCGCACACGTCGAAGTAGTCCCCATTCAGAAACACCTCCGCTGCCGCCATCATCCTGTCCGCCTCAAAGCGATTTACATCTTCGGTGCTGGCGTTTTCCGCAGCGGCCCCACCTAAATGGCAATTAGGTGTTGCCCTGGGAAAGCCACCATTAATTTTTCCGTCTCGTAGTACACCTTCCACGACGTCCCAACGATTCACTTCTCTGTAGTTCCTCCTGTTGGCCGAAAGATGCGATAGATTTGCACTTGAAACATCCACTTCTCTTAAAACTAATCCATTTGCAGTTTTTTTGGTGTGGTGCCCACTTTGTTCTCTTCCATACCGATTTCCAAATAGACTCACCGTTTGGGATTCTTCCCCTCGGCTGATTTGATGGTTCTTCAATTCTTCGAATTTTATGCAACTTTGGGGGGACGCCCCATTCGTCTTGCTAAACGTGAAGAGACAATCAACATATGGTAACCCCCCATTTGGCACGACCTTCCCATGATCATCACAAATGATTTTTCTTGGGCCACCCTTATCAGTGCCTTCTAACAATAGGAATGGATCCCATCTCTCTTCTTGACGTGGGCTGATTTCCCTGTAACTTCCCCCCTGCGTAGTTATCACCATCCCACTATACGGATCATACTCTTCGCAAATTATCTCACTCGTTTTGTTTTCTAGGAGGGGGAAATTACTTCTCCTCCGCGGATAAAGCTCACTGTACTTCTCTTCTTCCTCACCAGTTGTATTTCGATCTAACATCATCATATTCACCTTGGGTGTCATTTTGGCCCGTATGTGGGGTCCTCTTCCCTTCAATTCCACCCCAGTTAAGGACGCTCCCCACGGTTTTTCACACTGCCGTGAATTACTCAATTGGGCATTGATCTCTTTCCCAAATTTGTACTTCCCGGTGACGTTGCTTCCCCTGCCCCCCGCGTCGTTCCTGTTGGTGTGGCATTTGAAAATATGGACTCCTATTGGGGATCCAGTTGAGGCAGTACCCTGTGTATCAACTACCTCATTCTTTATTCCTTTGTTTCTTTCCAAAGTGCTCACTGGTAAGAGGCATGTTTCTGTGCCCCCCTCCGTTGTCCCGCATGTCTCATTAGAATCTCTAAAACTGGCGAACCCACTTTTGCTCCTTTTATTCTTATCATTGCGAGTCTGTTTCGCTTCACACTTCACATGTGCTACATCTAACAAATGAGAAATAGGGTCGACCGATTGCGGTTTTATGTGTTCTTTTCTTTTCTTCTTTCTTTTTTCTGGCTTCATAATTTTTACACCTTTGTTTGTTGCCTCTTTGTCTGTCTTTCTCACATCTGCCTTGTTATAGTAGGCTGTTTTCCCGTTTACCTGAACCCATTTTTTGGAAGAATCTCTTTCGTCTCTATGTTCGTTTCCAGCCAATCCTGCACTGTTCTCACTCACGACCGGTTCTCTAACCTCCTCCTGAAACATGTTGACCTCCTCGAAGTTCAAACGTTTATTTCTCTGAAAGTGGCTCTCTACTGATTTATTTCTTATGTCCACCTCGATATGGCCTATATTCCTGTTGTCCTGAAAAATCTGATGTAAAAAAATTTTCTCATTTTCATCCAAATGTTTATCCGTTTCGTTCTTTCCCTGTTCGTCAAATGGGCTTCCAATTGCGTGTCTGCCATAGTCTCTGCGCGCAAGTGTCATGTTCTCTTCAATTTGCGCAAAGGATTCATTCACATCAACGGAGGGATTCATATCATATTCTGAATAGCCACTTCCTATGCGTGCCACTTTTCCGTCATATTGAGGATGCGGCTCCTTCCCGACCCCATATTTTATCTTTTCCTCCGCCATCAAACATGAGGTCATCCTCCCCTCCGCGCAATATCTTTCCACATTCCTGCATCTCCCGGTGGTGCTCCTCATTAAATTATGTGCCTCAAATGGCTCGACACTTCTCATTGCACTATAACTTTGTACTACCCCCCTGTTCAAATCATTCTGTAAATAATTGGTCTCACTCATGTTTATTACCCTTCCTGTATCCTTCTGTCCTCCCCTGTTTTTTTGGTTTGCCCACTGGTTCGCGTTCATCCCCGAGGAGGTGTCACATCCGCTCTGTGTAGAGTTCCTTTTGGACATGTTTGCACTGGGAATATTTTTCCCTGGAGGTGTGCCCCAGCTGTGTAGACACGGCCCCTGTGTACTGTTTGCGTGGGGAAATTGCGGGAGCATTTTCTGAGGAGTCGTGTGTTGAGGAGAAAGACTAAGCCCAAGGAAGTGACCCCCCACGTTCGCCGTGCCATCAATACGGTTCGCTGCTCCATTAGCAGCTCTATTGCTTACACCGCTTCTTCTTCCACGGTGACTGCAAGGCGTTGCTAATTCATCTGCCCCTACAGGGGTAGCCCCACCGATGATTCCCCCATTCCCCTCGAAAAAGGGAATCGCCCCCCTGTTAATAACTGAGGCGTCGTTAACAATTGAGGCACTGTTCCCGGAAGTCATCGCATTATTGGTTACGTTAGTACCCCCTCTTTGATCACTCCCCACTGTCATACCCTTCTCGTAATTGTTAATGAAACTCCAGTAGCCATTTGGTACAACATCCTTTTTAAGTCTCATTTTGTTCGGCTTGCTCTCCACCACGGGTTCTAAAATGGAGACTTCTCCCCTATTGTGCACAAATTCTCTAGTCCTATCTGTGATTCCATTTCTATGGGCTTTATTATTTGCGCTCTTCCTCTGATGCATCTCTGGGGCGCATGTCTTGTTTGCATCAGCTGGTAGAGTGGCACTCACCCCGAGGGGGAAGTCCCCTTGTGTACTTATGGCCTCATTTTCCATAACCTGTTCTCTACTGTTGGCAAAATGTCCATCGTTCAGCAGAGCAATCCTGTGAGACCTGTTGCGCTCCTCGTCATTGATGGCATTACTCTTTATGGCTCCATTTGCCGAAGTTGAGAGGGGCCTAACAGGAACGCATCCTATCGGAATTGTCGCAATCGGAACAGTACCCGTGTTATGCATGTCCACATTTCCCCTTGCCACATTGTATGAGCTCACATCCCCGTTATACCACTGGCATTCGACGTTGGGTCCTCTCAAGACACACCTTTCGACGTTCCTCATATTAACAAAATTGTTTATTCCCCTTTCCGCATTGGACTGAATCATCTCATTCGTCTCCCCGTTCGTGTTATATGCGCCATAAAAATTCTCATTTTTGACTTGACCATTCAGGCAAATTTGATCATTGGGGCCATAAAATTGGAATGGTTCTTGCGCCCGATCTATGTTACTAATTCGATTCATCTTTCCTGGGTAACTACAATTTCTCTCCTTCTCAGAATGGTGCACCATGTTGTGAGGCGGGACAATATCGTTCGTACCGCTTCCGCTTCTGCTGCCAACCTCCTCCGTTTGGAATCTCCTGGTAGGGCTCTCCACTTGGCTCGGAACTCCCGTGTAACTGCGGTTTGCATACCAGTCTGGGCTAGCGTAATGCCCCTCGTAAGGTTTATCTCTATAAGTGCCACTCGCAGCACTGGGACTATTTGCACCACTTGCACCCCTCCCGCTGTAGGAGAGAAGCTTGCTGCCGCTAACACTGGGTCCCTTTAACGACTCCATCTCGTGCGAATGTGCCGGCATTATTGCAAACAAATTTGCCTTCATCTCAGTCCCGTCCCAATGCTCACTCCTCTCATTCATGACCTCGTTCTGTTTATCATCTTCATGCGATTTGGACTCACCTGTTGGTGTGCTGATTCCCATGGGATCCCCCTTTTGGTCGTTAAACTGAGAGGTAGGGGTGCATTCCGCTGAGCCAATCGAGGAAGGGGGACTAGTATAATCATTCAATCCCACCGTGTTGTTATTCCTATCTAAGCCATCATATGGCAGATGTGAAACTTCGCATTTCTCACTACTGTGTGTTTTCTTGTCCCCCACGGTGTTTTGTTTCTTCACTGGAGACACCCCATTTTTGCCGCAGACATTTTTGCTGCAGACATTTTTGCCGCAGACATCTTCGCTGCAGCCATTTTCGCTGTTCATGAAATTTTTATTTTTTTTTAATTTGAGGTGGTTCTTCCTTTTCTGTACCTTTAATCGACTTTTCACAGCTAGCTCTCTCGCAATTAAGAACCCATAACGGTACACAGAAAAGCATTCTTTCTTTTTATGCCCATAGGCACACCACCTCTTCTGTCTTATATCAAAATGGACCCCTTTAATCTTTGGCATTTTCATTATTTCATTGTAGTAGTACTCATCTTCATCGTGATCGTTACAACTATTTTTTTCGAACTGAGTCAGTTTGTGTTTGTACATTTCTTCTTGTCCCTCTTCGACTTGTGCTGTCTCTTTTTTTGCTAACTCGTTTGACCCTTTCTCGCTTCCATGTTCGCCATACTTCGCAGCATTGGGGTTAAAGACACACCGTGGTACACTGGATTCTCCAATGGAAACACAGAAAGGAGTATTTACGGTGAGCTGATTCAACTGGCTACACGGATCTAACTGTTTCTCACCTGTGCAGTTGTTTTCCTCATACATTGCTGCCTTCTTTGGTTCCTCACTTAGGTTAGCATTTTTCCGGATCAAGCTCATACTGTGGGTCCATTTATTGGGGTTGCTTATCTCAGAACTGACTTCTTCACTCCCTTTATTTTTGGCGTCACTTATTTCGCTGCACTCGCTTCTTTTCTGCTTTCCGCTTGTGCCTGCAATATCTAATTCGTTTTTTTCTTTTTTCCTTTTGGCACTTTTTCTACGACTCTTCGTTTTGGACACCTCCTTTGAGGCTGCACTCCCGTTAGAGATTTTCCCCTGGTTCTGTTCGCTCCTATCGATTGGATTCATCTCCTCACGCTCTTGTTCCCCATACCACTGGCAGCTCCGACTAACGATATGGCTTCCCGACAGTACAGATATACTGTCGCCGCGGGTGTGCGAGTCATTACAACTTTTGCCCCCCTTTATGTTGCTCCTCTTTGCGCAATTGTTCTTTTTCCTTTTACTCTGTCCACTCACGTTTCCCTCTGCCGTCTTCCCTTCCTGGTTCCTGGCGGTGGCGTTCACTAGATATGCAGAAGTTACCCCCCTCAAAAAGCGTCCATATGCCATCTTTCCCCCTTCTCCACTCTCAACAGATGCGTTTTTTATTGTCTTGTTTGTTTTTTCCATGGGTTGAATGCTTATCCATTGTTCGGGTGAATTTATGCGCCTTCCAAACGCCTCGGCGTTGTCCCTCAAAACGTTTTCTTTCTCTTGTGTGGTCTCCTCACCCGTGTTCCTCAGCCCTACCACTTTGCCCGAAGGGCTGCCTTCACTGAGGAGACTCCTTCCCTGACTGCCCTCATAAGGCACACTTCTGTTTACATTGATCAATTCACTCAAGTGCTCCGAAATGTGCGTCGCTGTGGAAGCCCTAGTTAGGTTCCACGTCTCACGCTCGTTCCTTTCGCCACTTACCCTACTATGGATATTCAGGTTCAGGCTGAGGTTCAGCTTCTCCTTTTGATTGTTCAGGCCCAGTTTCAGCCTTTCCTTTTGATTGTTCAGGCTCAGGTCCTCCTTTTGTTTATTCTGGGTTAGGTTGTCCCCTTCTGGGACAGGACGGGGTAACTTAACGATTCCCTGGCTCTCCATGCCACCACCGCAGCTACCGCTGGAAATGGCACTACTTCTAACTTTCTTACCTTCCATGCCATTCTTTACGCCACTCTGCAC